GCTCCGGAGCGGCCGCCCCGGGGCCCCCGCCTCCTCCCCCGCCGCTGCGGGCCGGGCCGGGCCGGGCCGGTGCCGCCTCCCGGGTAGGGCCGGGGGATGGACGAGCAGCTGCTCCGGGCCCTGGGGGGGCTTCGCCTGCAGCCCCCGCCGCCACGCTTCAGCGGGAGGTTGGTGCTGCTGCGGGGGCTGCCTGGCTCCGGGAAGACCACCCTGGCCAGGTAAGGACGGAGCCCATCGCGGCGGCGGCGGGTCTCTGCTGTGCCCGGCTCCCTCCCGGCCCGGTGCGGGGGGTGCAGGAGCTGCCGGGAGCCCCCTGCCCGCCTGTCGCTTCCCGGCGGAGAACGGGGGAGAACCGCTGCAAATACCACTTTTGGAGGCGGCGGGGGCACCAGCTCGGAGCTGGTTTTTCCGGGGGGGCTCCGGGGGGAATGTGAGCCCGGCAGGAGGGAGCGGAGCCGGCTGGAAGCCTCCCCCGCCTCGGACAGAGCCCCCTGTTCGGCTGCTTCGAGGACCCGCTGCCTGTGGGGCTGGATGTTGTTGTTGTTCTGAGCCAGCAGCACCAAAAGGGGTGTTCCTAGTAGGATGGACTCATCACCCAAGCCAAGAGAGTTGTCGGTTTTTTAACTCTAAAAAAGCACCAGACTGGTGCTGCTTTTTTTTTTATTATTATTTTTATTACTTGTTATTAATCACAAACACGGCAAAGTGCTTACTCTCACTGACTGGGAAAACTGACAGCTCTGACTTCTGATTAGACATTTCAGTTAGAGATGAACAGTAGTCAGTCAAGCTCTATCACCAATGAACTATTATAGGAGCGTAAGTGAAGATTTTGTATTTTTTGAACTGTTTTTCTTCCCTGCAATCCCCATCATAGCAACACCCTCAGCATTGAAGTGCTGAGTTAAGAAATATTTTCATGTATCTCTGATGGTGAGGGGTCTGGAGAACTGGTCTTGTGAGGAGTGGCTGTGAGAGCTTTGGGGGTGTTCAGCCTGGAGAAAAGGAGGCTGAGGGGAGACCTTCTCGCTCTCTCCAACTCCCTGAAAGGAGGTTGTAGCCGGGGGGTGGGGTCGGTCTCTTCTCCCAAGGAACAGGCGATGGGATAAGAGGAAATGGCCTCAAGTTGCCCCAGGGGAGGTTTAGGATGGATATTGGGGAAAATTCCTTCACAGAAAGGGTTGTCAAACATTGGAAGAGGCTGCCCAGGGCAGGGGTGGAGTCACCATCCCTGGAGGGATTTAAAAGCCGGGCAGACGTGGTGCTGAGGGACATGGATTAGTGGTGATTTGGGCAGTGCTGGGTTGAGGGTTGGACTAGATGATCTTAAAGGTCCCTTCCAACCCAGATAATTCTATGATTCTGTGATGTCCTGCACTCTGGTCAGACCCATAGGGGTGAATAAAACGGGCAGAGGAGACTGTTCCACTCTCTGACAGCCCTGAGACTGATAAAATAGGTGGAAAACCCCAGAGGAGAGTGCAGTCCCAGTCGGCCTCACGCAGCGTAGCCCAAGTCTGGTGTTGGAGTATCTCTGGATCTGGTGTCTCACAGCTCTCGTGGCCACCCACTCTCCATCAAAGTAAGATGTCCCTGCAAGTGGGAGGTGTCCCTGCCTGTGGCAGGGAGGGTTGGAACTAGATGATCTTTAAGGTCCCTTCTACCCCAAACCACTCTGTGATCCCTCTATACAAGAGGGATATTTGCTGTTGCCTTACTCTGCTTGGGTGAGGAGCCCATGCTGGGATCGTGGGCTGCCACAGGAAAGGCTCTGCTGTGAGAGGTGGCAGCATGAAGCTGTGTGAGTCACTGCTACAGTTTCCCCTTTTCGGTGGAGTCCTCCATGTCACGCTGTGCCTTCTGCCTCACAGGACTTCTGCAAGACCAAGGTCTTTAATGAACAGCCAAGTGCTGTTATTTTGCTGACACCCAAAATACATGGTCTCCCTGAAGAGGTCGTGTAGGTGCAGGCCCCTTCTCCTTCAGGGGGGTTTGGGTCTTTTCATAGTACAATAAGAACGTAATCATTTGGGGCTGTGTTGTCAGGAAGTGCAAATAACTGACTCGCCTGTTTTTGTAGGTCAAAATACAAGGTTAATTATTAAACAGATTTACAAAATCAGTTGTAAGTATTGTTTTAGTCCCCTGTGAGATAAATGTTGGAGGAACTCAGTTCTGTTAGTAGCCCCTGCTGATTGTCTCATTACATTTGGCCCTTCGGCAGTGCACAGACCAAAGGGCAGCCGTAAAAGCTCCATTTAGTACCTCTCCATTAACTTTGTCCACATTATGAAAGGTCTGTGCCAAGAAAATTCTGAGATTTGCTATTCCCACATTGTGTACTTCTTGGTGTTGGTAAATGCAATGTGCTCAGCAAAGTGGTGTTTGTTTGCAAAAAATTACTGTAGCAAAGCTGAGTGGAAGAGCCTGCTGGAGGAGGAAAGTGATATTTATTTGCAAAATCCTCGGTAAGCTCATTTTACCCATTCCAATTCATTTGCTCAGATTTTATTCATTTGCATTATCACAGCCAAATATTTGCAAGGCCCAAGGTGCATACGCACAGGAGGTTCCATCCAGAATCAGAGAGGACAAGGACCTTTGGCTGTCCCATCCTCACCGTTTCTTCTGGGTTCCGCTCGGTTGGTGGTGACAGGGTGGATTTTGGTCAGGTCTGCCATGCCATCCTGCAGCCAGCAGTTCCTATGCTGCCATCTTTTTGCCTCCAAATTTGGCTTACTTGGTGCTCCATGAACCAGGCAGAGGGTTTTATCCATTATTTTAAGTTTCCCATTTTTGGGTGTCTTTCCAGCTGTAGCCTCTCCCTGTTTTGGACCGAGGGGAAGAAGGAAGGTGTGTGCAGGCTGGTGTGACCCCCCTGGCCATCCTCCTACTCTCAGACCACGGGTCTTCCAGTGGCAAGTCATCCGTGCTGGGCCTAAGCCGAGTGGTGGCCCCTGAGGGGTGTGTAAAGAGCACCTTTCCCAGTTTTATTGCTGTTAGTGATGTTGTTGGTTGCCAGTTTGTACCATTGTTTTCACCTTTGGTTTGTTGTTTCTTCTGGTGCTTTCACACACACCTCCATTCATTCCTTCTTCATATCAGCCAGTGTTTCTGTTACGACTTGCACATCTTTGCACAGTGCTCAGGAGGAGTCACAAACTGTGAATGTTATCACCGGTGACATGGCAGCTCACTGATAACTCCAGCAGAAAGGGCCCTTTTCAGTTCATCACACAATCCTAGGAACAACCTCGGACCCATGACTCATTTCCCTGATCTTTCAGTTGCATCAGTTTGGATACAACTTTGTAAGATTTAGTTAGCGCATCTTCGTTAAAATTATTTCCCCATCCCAGTTGTTCCCCCAGCTCAGCGGACCACGGTATGGATCAGTTCAGGTTTGGTTTTTCATTTCTGGTAAAGACAGTGAAGGATCCACCTGTGATACATTGAATAGTCAAGGCTGAATGAGGAGTTGGTCTGCTCACCACCAAGCTCCAAACCTTTCCAGTTCCTTCACTGTTGAGAATATGCTTCCCTGAACCACGTATTTGAGGTGACCCACACCATCTCCCTCTAACTGGTCATTCATACGTCACCACCAGAAGAAGTGCATAGAAGAGGACTAGTTGGGAGCTGCATCTCCCATAGCCTCCAGCAGGCAAGTGGAACACCCTCCTGAACACATTTCCCCCAACTTCACAGTAAGATTTCATAATCAGACCTGGGTAGCTGCTAACAGTTATCTGAGGTGCAGTAGTGGGTATAGCTTCTAAAAATGCCTCCAAAAAAATCAGTGAGCCACATAACAAGCTCAGACAGCCCCAACAGACTCTTCATTGCTCAGCAGCCATATTTCCAGCTCTTCTGCGCCATCCTGCAATGGAATGCAACTCATGTAACCCTCTGTCTGGCAGGTTGGTTCAAGCACTGGGCTGGGCATGATGGAACATGCAACTTTTTAGCCACGTCTGTTGATTTATCACTTGAAATGGGCTCCTTCTTGCGTGCCCTTACGAAGCACCGAGGGAGCCATCTGCCAGAACAGGAAGGAAGAAATGCACTGGCAGCGGAGCATCACGGCTTGGTGTGATCCATCCCTGTCCCAGTTCGTCCCAGTATCCCCACCCCCTGCGGAATTGCAGCTCTGACGGGGTTCATGGACTCCAGCTCTGCAGCTCCTGCTTCCAGGCTGCGATGCAATGTAAACATTTACCTGTGTGTGTGTACATATATATACACACACACCTTTTCACCATTTCAGGGTGATTCCCCTGGATGTGTTTATCAAATATAACAGCAGCCTCTGGCTTTACAAGACTCAGCCACTGCTCTGACCCCCCCCAGCTCAGACAGGAGGCACAGATGTCCTCTGCCGAGCGGAGGGCAGGCTCCCACCAGGGCAAAGTCCTCAGGGCACCAGAAGCTGTTAAAACCCAGCAGAGGCAGCCGATAAGAGCTGGGCATGTGTTCCAGATCTCACAGTTCTGATTTTCTGCTGAAACTAAAGGCCTTTAAACACCACGGGACTGCTCTGTGTGTGGAAGAGTGACCAGAGCGAGGTGGCACCTCCCTTACGAGGAAAGGCTCAAAGAGCTGGGGCTCTTTAGCCTGGAGAAGAGAAGGCTGAGTATCTAAAGGGTGGATTGAAGGATGATGGAGTCGGACTCTTTTCAGTGGTTTCCAGTGATAGGACAAGGGGCAACAGGCACGAGCTGGAACATAGGAAGTTCCACTCGAATATGAGGAAGAACTTTCTGGTGAGGGTGACAGAGCCCTGGAACAGGCTGCCCAGGGAGGTCGTGGAGTCCCCTTCTCTGGAGATTTTAAAGACCCGCCTGGATGCAGTCCTGAGTAATGTGCTCTGGGCAATCCTGCTTTAGCAGGGGAGTTGGACCAGATGATCTCTAGAGGTCCCTTCCAACTCTGACAATTCCGTGGTTCCGTGATTCCATTGCATGGGATGTCAGTGGATACGTGTTCTGGTTTCTGTTCCATTGGAAGCAGTTTGGGAATTTACTGGCTCCAAGATCTGCCCAATGTACTGTTCCGTTGCCTTTTGAGCACTGAAAATGTTCCTTCCAATCAGGCTCAAATTGGAAATTAGTTTATTTTCAAATTTTCTGATGGAAACACATGCCAGCCTATGAAGTACAGCTAGGGATTTCTCTGTCTCCAATGATATTACTAGTGATCCTGGAAACTTCTCCCACGTGCTCTAATGCATCCAGCTATTCGAAACCCTGAATAATTATTTTGCTGCCTGTATGTACAGTTACAGTCTGAAATGACTGAAAGCTTTGAAGGTGCTATTTAGAAAAAAGGGGACTTAAAACTGGTATAAATCACGGGAACAGCCCATCAGATGGCTCGCGCAGGAGACCTAAAGCCACCGCCGTGCTCACTGAGGCGGTTGCTACAGTGCTGCTGTGGTCACCCAGGAACACGGCTGTATTTCCAACAGAAAGGGGCTCCATTTTTGAACACAGCGGCCGTCACCCATCTGAGCAGAGTGAGGCAGCACGCGAGCGTGCAGCAGCACTGGCCAGGATGCCACCTCGACCAGAAGCGTCCCTGCCACCCGGGCTGCCCGTGGGGTCAGGGTGGGCAGAGAGCAAAACTTTTGCCTCTGCACAGCTTCATGTTTCTGGGAGCTTTAGCAGTTCCTGGGTCCTGCTGGAAGGTCCATGAAGTTGGTGCCGTTGTGTGTCAGAGCTGAGGAGCAGAAGCATCTGAAAGCTTTTTTGTTGTTTTTCCCTGGCTGTGTCGGCTGATCTAATGAGATTCCGTCAGGGCCAGGCTGGATGGGGCTTTGAGCAATGTGGTCTGGTGGGAGGTGTCCCTGCCCATGGCAGGGGGGTTGGAACTCGATGGTCTTTAAGGTCCCTTCCAACCTGAACCATTCTATGATTCTGTGATCCAGTACCTGGGGTGGAAACCTGCTTTGCCTTGCAGAAGGGGGAACAGGGGTTTGGGGAGATTTGTTGCAACCAGAGGAAACATGCCTCTTTCTCTTCTTAGTTTCTTATCCTTGGTATTTTCTGAAAGAGCAGCAAACTTTTCTTCAGCAAGCTATGGAGGATACTGCATTTTTGTACCTACTGCAGGCCAGAGAGCTGTAACACCCTGCAACTGAATGTCCCAAGTAGGCAAATTAATACTGAACCTTTGACAGATACTGCTTATCACACCGCAGACCTGCAAGTTCAGTGGCTTTTTTTTAAAAAAAATAAAATATGCAAACACAGCTCAGATATACCTCTGATCTTGCAAAGAAATTTAATTTTTCTTTTCCTCCTTCGTAGGCTTTACACTTACTGATCAAATTGCAATGAGTAATTTTCTTTTTACAGTGCTGCTTGAAATTTATTAACTAATAACCCTGGTCACAAGTCCCCCCATTTTGCATAGCTGGAGAGGGACTCTTTTCAGGAAGTGTAGTGACAGGACAAGGGGCAACGGTTTTAAATTGGAAGAGAAGAGATTTAGGTTAGATATCAGGAAGAAATTTTTTACTATGAAGGTGGTGAGACACTGGAACAGGTTGCCCAGAGAAGCTGTGGATGCCCCATCCCTGGAAGTGTTCAAGGCCAGGCTGGATGGGGCTTTGAGCAACCTGGTCTGGTGGGAGGTGTCCCTGCCCATGGCAGGGGGGTTGGAACTCGATGATCTTTAAGGTCCCTTCCAACTCTAACCATTCTATGATTCTATTTTGCTAAAATATAGGCATTTTTATTGCGTACAGTGATTAGGAGCCTGATGTGATTATGTAAAACCTTTCTTCTAAACCAACTTGTAGCTCATAGAAGGCTTACTTACTCTTCAAGGAACATACCACAGGGGTTTGGGTGCCCTTTGAAATGATCAGGGACAGAATAAACAGGATTTTTGTCAGCTTGATGGGCAATAGGGGGTTACAGAAAATGGTTGTTAACTTCAGTGTCAGTTTGGTTGGTTTTGAAAGCTAAAAGTTAAAACCAGCAAAATAAGCAGAATGTAAAGCCTCTTCTTTTTCCCACAATGTTTTCTTGTGTTGCTGTTAGTAGGAGTTTGTTTGGTCTGAATATAGCAAATGTGACAGTAATTCATAGCTCTTAACACATTTTGTGCCATATTTTTCCCTCCTTTGAAGCACAAGTTTTATCATCTTTAATTACCAGTGATATGAGGGTTGTGGACAGAATGAGTTTACAGATTATCAGACACTATTTAGATTTCTTAAGGGTTAATATCAAAGCTGTCATGTGAGTGTGCATGTATGTGTTAAAAGCTTAGTAAGGTACATGCTGAGAAAATAACTTCTAAGATTTGCTCAGGTGGAGAACATTTTTGAAAGAAACACTGAGCAAGAAAAAAACCAACTTGTGATCTTTCATTAATATGTATAATTTTATGTGCCTATTAGTAGCTAAGGGGTGACACGTACTTCAGCATGGTCAGTCCTTTCAAGAAGAGATGGGGTAAAGCAGCAGGAGAGGTGCTGAATCACAGTGAGAGCCGCAGGTATCAGTTTATCAGCACCAGAGAAACCAGATAAGCAGTGGGTGCTGCTGCGCTGCTCATGATAAGGATCCTTTGCCTGGGCCCAAAATGAAAGCAAAAATAATTTGACTGTTTGCTAACGGTTTGCGATGTGTTCGATCTGTTTGCCCAGCAGTAATGATGGGAATAAAGCATCTGTTTGGGGCTAGAAGGTAACAGCCTGTAGGTGCTAAATGTGGCTGGTGGCCACTTGCCCAGCGGTGAGTCTCTGCTCTCGGGGCTGGTTGCTACCACTAAATAATATGAATTAATCAGCAGCTGGTAGAAGTTACAGCTTCTGGAGGCGGAACAAAGTCAGAAGCCGACCTTTATTCAGCTAAATCTAACAGGCAATCCTAGTGAAGAATTGCTGGCAGGCAGATCAGGGTAAAACTGGTAAGTAAATCGTTAGGGCAGAGCTAGAGATGACAGAATTAAGCCTTTTCTGGCCGAGTGTATGTTTTTTTGCCGATAACCCAGAGGCACCTTTTCCCTCGCTGTTGCTCAGTTAGAAAAGACATTGAGAAATAGTTGTTTGGCAGCTCCTGGAGATGGAAGAGAAGCACTTTTATCAGGGAAGCTTGCAATGAGTTCCCAGGGTGTGGAGCTCATCTGTGGTGTGAGATAGCGGGACAGCAGCACTCACGTCTGAGAGCCAGCAGGTTCCTCCGTGGGCCTTCCGTTCTTTTCCAGAGACGTTTTGGGCCTTAGGGAGACAGCAGTGAGATTATGCTGTTGGGCTCTCCCTGACTTCTTCCAGAGGCTCCCTCCTCCCCCTGCACTCCCTTGACTGAAAAAAATAGACAATTCTGTCTATGGACACCTCCCTGCAGGGACACCTCCCACTAGAGCAGGTTGCTCAAGGCCCCATCCAGCCTGGCCTTGAATTCTTCCAGGGATGGGTCCTGCACAATTTCCCTGGGCAACCTGTTCCAGTGTCTCACCACCCTCACAGTAAAGAATTTCTTCTTGATATCTAACATCAATCTCCCCTCTTTCAGTTTAAAACTGTTACGCATCGTCCTATCAAATAAATATGGATGAAAGGTAGTGGGAGGTGTCCCTGCCCATGGCAGGGGGCTTGGAACAACATGATAGAATCATATGGGGTTGGAAGGGACCTCTGGAGATCATCTAGTCCAACCCCCCTGCCAGAGTGGGTCTACCTAGAGCAGGTTGCACAGGATCTTTAAGGTCCCTTCCAAACCAAACCATTCTAGGATTCTATGAAATGGGAACCCAATTTTGCATGAATATTTTTTTTTTAATGCTCTCTAAGAACACTTCATATTTAAGCCACCACACAAGGAGTATTTTCAGTGTCTGGGAGGCAGCTGGTCAGCGCGTGGCAGCTCCACCCTCCAGCTGGGCATCCCAGGTCTGAATGAACATCCCTGTGGGACACACAGCAGAGAGGAGAGAAGGGGGTGGCCCTGTGCCACCCACCACAGGGGACCGGGTTCATGGGTCTGTTGCATTTGGGGCTGCCAATCTCAGCAATGCAGATTTGTTTATAAAACATGTTTAAAAGCTGAAAAGAAATAAAAATGACAAAACTCTACAAGAGGAGGATTAAGTAAAACAGAGACAAGTGAAAAGCAGAAAGAACCATAGCATTGCAACAAATAATAGGAAATATTGACTAATCACTCCAATATTTGTTTGCAAATTAAAAAAAAAAAAAAAAAGTGCTATGTGCTTTGTAGCCAAAAAAAACCAAAAAAAGAACAAGACAAACTGATAATAATATAGAGCATCTTCCCTAAAAGAGAAATCATCATTCCTCCTGGTTATCTTCAAAAATCTCTCTGTAGCAAAACTCCCACAACCAAATCGTCTTTTGAGACCAACTTCCATGGGATTAGCAAATTTGGGTGGTTTTTTTTAAATATATTTACAGTCAAATCTTCTCAGGTAACAGAAAAAAACCTGAGCATATTAATATGATTAAAGCCTCATGGTGGCAGTCCATTGTAGATTCCTCTGCTGAATTCAAGAAATCCAGGCTGTGCCTTTAAGCTCCCTTCCTTTCCTCCGATGTGTCCATCTACCGATTGCGTTACTTTCAGATCCTTTAAGCTGAGATTTTTCAAATGAAGCACTGTACATATCTGCAGAGCACTCCTACAGTTCTTGATTTAATGGTCTCTATTAAAGGCATGTCTTAGCATATATTAATCCTCCATTTTTTTTTTCTTTTTCCAGACAACTGAAACGTGACCATTCCAGTGCTGTAGTTCTTAGTACCGATGACTTCTTTATCGAAAATGGGGTGTATGTGTTTGAGCCTGACCTCCTCGAGGATGCACACAAATGGAACCAAAAGCGAGGTGACTGAAATCAATCCAGAAGTTTTGCAGAATGGTTTTGCTTCTCTGTGTGTCTTTAAACTTAGCCCCAAAAATGAAAATATCTCACAGTATTGTCATATACTCAAGTTCATGGGGTACTGTTTAAAATGATGCACATTTACACTTCTGATTTTATTTATTGTGACTTACAAGAGAGAAATTTGTAAATGAAAACATGTTGGTGATTGATAGATGTTATTTCAGGAAGCAAAGGGTGACTGTTGGGTAGCAGTGCTGAAGCTGGTAACAGCAGGTGGCATGCAAGCCCCAGCCCAGCAGCTGTCTGCTCCCCATCCTTCAGGCTGGAACCTCTCAGATGTCTGTCCTGGCTTGGGAGGGAGTGTTAGTGGGGGGGGAATTAGTGACAGCCAGGAGGAAAACCTAATTAAAAGTTTGAGAATGAAATGGGTCGGGTGTCTACTTCAGAGAGAAAATGTAACGTGCTTCTGTGGCTGTACTCTGAGCTCATTAGTAGCAATTGCAAACATACTTTGAGATCATGTAACAAGGATGTTTCACAAATACCAGTGATTTTTAGCTGTTGTAAATACCTAGTCCTGTGATACCGCAGACTATGTTCTCTGAGAGCTTCAGCTCTTACTACTGAGCCCAGGCAGGGGCTGCGTGGCCTCCTGCAGGGGAGCATCTGCTGGGCACTGACCTCTGCTTGTGTTTGGGGGGTAGCTGCAAACCGAAGTCTGGTGGGGACCCAAGCGTGCGAGCAGTGGGCAAAGGGAGGACCCTCAGTGGGTAGTAAGACCTGGCTCAGTCTGTTACTGAATACATTTTAGCTTTACTTAATGTGTTACGTTACAGCGCGCAAAGCAATGAAGAATGGGAAAAGCCCGGTTATTATTGATAATACCAACATCCATGCTTGGGAAATGAAGCCCTATGTGATGATGGTAGGGAAAGCTCTGATTTATTGCTTTTATATATGCTCAGCTACAACTTTTAAGAGATAATCTGACTGAAACGGTTCTTAACATGGCTAAAAATAATTACTTCCATTTTCCCTTAGTCCTCTAATTTGTAGTTAAGGATTGATATTGTGATGAAGTAGGGGAAGAGGTGCCAGTGCAGTTGTTTTATCTCATCAGTTGTATAACTCAGTGACAGCAAAATTACTTGAAAAGTTTAATAGTCTTTGAATTTGCCCTGTTGCTTCCTGGCAATCAGGATGTCATCCCCTTCCCCAGCAGTGACATCAGTTGAACAGTTCCCAAACTATTTAGTGACAAATCAATCAAGGTATGACTTCCAATTTCAGTTAATGACTTGTGAAAAATACACCATGAAGAGTCTTCAAAGACGCATTGGTATCTCTTGTCAGGAGTGCTGGCAGAGGTGGGAATAATTTTACTACAGTTTCATAATGTGGCCTGTCTGCTAACATTATACTCAGGCTTCTGTTCTTGGGTTACGGTCTTGTCAGTTAAGAAATCTGGGTCTAAGTATTTGATTTTATGGGAGCACAGAAGAGGCATGAATGGTGGTGGTGGAAAGCCTGGACATGCCACTCCAGTAGCAGTTGGGACAGCTTGTGGGTGACGAGGCAGCAAGAGAGAGAGCAGAGCCAAGAGGCAGGCAAGATGTCAAAGGTCAACAGATTTCCATTTCCCTGCCTCCTTTCCCCCAAATCAAAACCCAAAAGCAATCAATAATTGTATTAAATATATATGTACACACACAAGTATGTGGCTTTACCTTAAAAAAATAATGGAGGCCTGTAGACTGAGTGGCTGGAAGTAGCATGAATGTGAGATGTTGACCTCACCCTCCCAGAAGCTCCAGATTGGCGTGCCCAACCTGTGGCTCTTGATCCATCCATGACTTCCAGAGAGTTCAAGTGCCAGGATGACGTTGCCGTGAGGGACAGGGACTGGGGGAAATGCAGGTTTTGCTGGGAGATCCAAATCCTTGGATGTAAAGGAAATGCACTAGCTGGGACTCAGACAAGCACCTTGACGGGAGTCATGGTTGTCTTTCTGGTCCCTGGTATATGTGATACATCTCTTAGCCAGATAAAATCACAGAGGGCCTGGCAGATCGACTGCTGCTGAGCCCCACAGCCATATGTCTAAAACTTCTCTGTCCTTCTTCAGGCACGTGAAAATAGGTATGAAGTTATATTCCAAGAACCAGATACACCCTGGAAGTTCAATGTTCGGGAGCTGACAAGGTACATATTTTTCTCTTTGATACAGCAGACACCTCATTCCATTGATCTGCTCTGAAAAGGTCAGCACTCTTCCTCTTCATGTCCCCTAACAAGTAGCCTAGTAAATGAGAACAGAAGGGTAGTCGTGGAAAATGTCTATAACTCAGTACCTGGTCTGCAATGAACTCGGCCCTGAAAGAGCCTGACCGTGCTGAGGTGAGTCAGGCAGTAGAAAAAACAATTTCCCCCTGAAGTGTGTATTTGCACTGCAAGCTTCTTGGGGCAGGACCCCTGATTTTCACTCTGTATTTTGAGTGGCGCACTCTATTTGGGCACAAAACGTGTCTAAGCACTACAGCCAACATTCAGACATCTGTTCTTAAAAAAAGCTGATCATAACACATACTGTCTTGCGAGGGTGGGATGCTCCTACTGGCCAAACTGCCATACTTAGAGCCATATTTGGCTGCCTCTGTAGCCTACCACAGTATGCAGAGTTGATACACTCATTGTATCCCTTTTGCACGTGCATGTTAAGATCTTTAGAAAGGTCCTCTGGAACCTCATGCAGCACTGTAAAACTGATTCAAAGATGCTCAGTTTGGAGCAGCTCTTTGGCAAACGGTTCAGGGGCAGCTGAAGGTTGCTTCCACCCTGGCGTGTCTTTACTAGCAATAAGGTTTGTTCTGGTTGCTGGTCCTGGGCACGGGCTGCTGGAGGACCTGGTGGGTCCTTCACAAGTGGGATGCCGCAGCGATGCAGGATTTGCACACTGCAGGTCTTTGAAAGTATGGGTGCAGCACAAGCTTAGATTCTAAACGATGAATTGTGCCTAATAGAGCTAAATAGCAAAAGGAGAAGATATTCAGAGTTTGCAACTCACAGACAAGCAGAAAACCCTGGTGGTCTCCAGAAAAGTAATTCCCACTGGTGTCTTGAGAGACTGCAGCCTCTTCTGGTCTATCCAGAATCATAGAATTAGAGTTGGAAGGGTTTGAGCATCCTGTTCCCCTCCCTCTCAGCCTCGCCAGCAGCTACAAATCTGCCCTGGAGTGTGAGTGACGTTGGGTGTTTTTCCCCACTTGCTCCCAGACAAAGCAGTGACAGGTTGTTGCCCTCCTTGTTCTTCCTGAATACAAGTCAGTGTCTGGGCTACCCACGGCCCTTGTCTATGTTTCTTCAGCTTGATAAAAGCTCACCCTGAGGCTAACAAGCCGCCAGCACTAAAACCCATATCAAATAATACACAGGCCTTCTACCTAGCTCTTTCTCACCTGGCCTGCATTTCAAAGCGGTTGTCCAACTTCTTATGTCCTGGCTGACCACAAAAATACATTTTTTCAGCAGTCACAAAAATATTTTTAAGAAGTAGGTGGAAGTGAAGAACAATTTGGGAAGAAAGGGCTAGAAATAGATCAGTGGGGACATGAGCCGTTACCCTGAACATATCAGGAACCTTAGCAAGTTTAAGATAACCTCTAATACACGGGCAGCTAAACTTGTATTTTCTGTTAATGTTGACTCTACAGAAGAAATACTCATCACGTCCCTCGAGAAAAGATACAGCGGATGAAAGACCAATATGAGCACAATGTTACCTTCCACAGTGTTCTTCACTCTGAAAAACCAAGCAGAGATGAAAGAAGCTCCAGAGGACCAAATCCAGCTTACGGGATGGGTGCCCGTTTCGACCCCCCTCCTGTCTTCTCCAACAGAAGACCTCACGTGGCACATACAAACACCACGCCATTTAACTGAAGAGGTGGATTCCTCACCGCGTTTTAATGATCAGGGTATAAAAGTCTCTAGTTGTACATTTTTTTTTCTAAACGGTTTTTTATTCTTGTATTTTTCTACTACGTGTATAATGACCTTTTTTTCTTACAAATCTTTAAATGTGTCTGGACTATGATCTCACAGCTCGACGTGACCGACCTGAGAGCACTCTCCCCGGTACAGACTGTGCTCCCTCTTGTTCCTCTTCCTCCACGAAAATCCATTCCAGCTTATGGTGAAATTTACTGGCTCTGCCACACGCCTTTTGGGTTTTTTTCCCCTGTATTGTGCTCTGTCACTAATAGAGGATGATAAATACTCCTAAATTCTTTCTAGCAGGACATGTAGCCAATTTCTTCTCCATGCCATTTCTTTTTCAGCAGTCACTTGCCATTTCAATACTCTATATCTGTAATTTTAATTGACATTTTAATACTTTCTTGCCATTTTAACACTCTTTATCTGGTTGTATAACCTTTTGTGCCTTCCCAGTGCACCTTGCCTAGAGCCTTACTGCTGCCTTTGAGAGAGGCAAAATAAAGGGTGGAAAAGGTAGCTCTGGCAGATTGCAGCAAGATCTGATGCTGTTCCCCATCTACACCTCTGCTGTCTGGATTCACACTGGTCTTACCTCAGCTCTGTCACAGCCAAAACAGCTTCTCCAGCTTGGAGGCAGAACACTTCAATGCACCAAACAGCCCTTGATCTTGCCACGACACAGGAATTCCACTGATCCTGAGACGAGTCCGTACATGGAGGCTCCTAAAAGGAAACATCAGTGTTAGGGTTGTGCTTGTTACCTTCCAAGTAGGAGCAGCTCTGAATAGCTGCAGCACAAGGCTCCCAAATACCCAAACCAACTCAGAAATAAAAAATAACGACTTAAAAAATGTTCTTGCAAGGGGAGAAATCAACTCCTTCCACCGCTGAAGTGCCAAGAAGCCGCTGAGTGAGGAAGGAAGCAATCCTGCAGGGGTTTTAGCCGCACTGTTAAATTCTGCTGATTATGTCCTTATCAAGAAGCCTCATCAAACATTTTTAAAACTCAGCATTTGTGATGGCAGTTTTAAGCAGGTGTGGATTATTAGGCATTGCTCAGAGGGCAGGACAGTAGTGAGTTTACAGTAGGAAATGAAGGCAGCTCACATTGGACAGGAAGAAAAATGGGTATAACTGCTAAGGGCATATAGGAGGTGTAACAAAATATGCTGCTTCTGGGCAAAAGCCAAGCTGTCTTCAGGACACTGTGCATGTATGAGGTAAGTTGTATTTTCTACTCAAGCTGCGTTTAAAGCAGCAGTATCATCATTGTAATTAAGTGTGAACTAGGGGGCCTAGGGAACCTGCAGTGCACAGTGGTTTACAGAACTATCAGCAAGCCCGTCCTGCTACAATGTCCAGCTTGGTGACAGGAGCCACCCCCAGTTCAGCACTGGGGAATGGCACAGGACCCCTGAAAGGCTGCCGAGTGGGAGCTGGGGGTCTCAGTTCTGAAACATCCTCCCTCCTTTGCCCCACGCGTGGTGGGAAGCCGTGGGGAAAGGGGCAGCCTGACAACAAATGGCCTGACATGTGGAGCTGGCAGCCAGTCCAGCAGGGCTGCTGCTCTCCCCAGTGGGGAAACTCCCAGTTCCGAGACGCTTCACCTGTTGAAATTAATGAGAACAAAGTAATGAATTCAAGTAGTAACTCACTCCCAGCAGAAGGATCTCGCGATGAAATCAAAGAAAGATTTAATTATCTTTCATGATGCAGTGGCCTCGAGTGCTTCTTCAGGAAGGAGCAGCTCAGAAACACTGACCAAGGATCTACCATTGATACCCATGTATGGCCTTTTGCTACGCATCAATCACAGCTGTTCTCTAAAGCTCTTTTAGCACAATAGGGAGAGTTTGAGGGGAAAATTACAAGAACTATGGCAGAATTACAGAGCAATATTTCAGAATTAATGTTTGCTAACAATAAACTTAGAGAATTGCTTATTTTGCCCTGTGCTACTTCCGACAGCCAAACGTCTATTCTAATACTAAAAACTAACAAAACTGATTGCTTTAGCCTGAAATAAAGATCCTGCTGCGATATAAGAACATCTCAGAATCAAAGCAATGGATTATAAAATGTCATCAAACCTTCAGCCACGCTGATGCTATTGTACGATACATGTAAGAAATGTATAATTACTGAATTCCAAATAATTTTGTGGATGAAATGCCATTTCGTGATTTTTTTGTAATACAGCTTTATTAAATACAATCAGAATTTAATGTACAAAGTGTAAAAATAATTTGAATTTGAAATATATACAGTACTGTACATGTGCATTTAGTACAATTTTCGGGGGTTTTGTCTTGGTAGCATTCTGCGGGCTGGTAACGAGTCCCCAGGTTCCTTTGTGTCTTCCTGAAAAGCCTGAGCTACTTCAGAACTGCCTTTTGATGAGTTATTTGCTTCCCTGGTAGACCTGGAACTATTTTTGGGTGAAAGATCATCAGAGAAATTAGTAGCTATTGTATCGCTGTTTTCATTTACATAGTCAATCTTCTTTTCCTCTGGTAAATTATTCATGAGTGCTTGTGTATTAATCATTGCAAGTTCTTCATCAGCAACGAGATCATTCTCAGAAAGATGGACCGTTTCTCTCGATTTTCTGCAGGGGGTGACATGCCCAATATTCCGATTTGTTTCCGTTGACGACTTGCTACCCTGTAAACCCAAACTTCGTGGAGGCTGAAATGCTTTTTTTAGCAATGGAGAAATGATTGAACAGATCGGTGTCAGTGGTGGAGGGGCGGGTACGCAGCTGAGGAACTCCATCGCTTTTCTCTTTTTGCTGTTTCTGGGATGGTCTTCATTACTTGTAGCAGGTGAAGGCGTTTTTGCTGACCCTTGTGCGAAGAGTTTCATATTGGGTGTGCTAGTTGACAAAGGGCTTGGATGCTTTATTTCAATTTTAGAAGAGATCTAGTTAAAAAGAGATAAGTTTTATGTTGAATAGAATGTCCTACCATCAGCTTCCTTGATAACTTCCGCAAAACGGGGGAAAAAACTTGGAAAAAAAAGCTATGTTATCATTCATGTCCAATTTAACTTTAGTTTGATACTTTCTGATGGTGACTAATATTATTCTTTCAAGTACTGATGCTTAATAATTACTGTTTACGTACACATTAAGACAGTACATTTACGTTCTGTTTCTGAGATCTAAGATAAATGTATGGGAATTTTCCTGTGCCAGATGGTAAGAAATCAAAGCTCTTATAATAAGGAGTTCTATGTCACTGGATATATCCTCAAGAGGTTGGTAAACAGGGAAAAAAGAAGACAAAAAGGGACAGGATATAGACCAAAAAACTTGAAGATAACAATACACACAAGGTAGACACTACACAGTAAATCATTCACACAAATGCTTTAATGTCTCACTTGTTTTAACTTGTTAATATATTTAATAAATTATATCAACTAAAACTTTAGAATTAAATATTACCACTCTCTCTGAAATGGAAAAGGATGACTTCTAAGCTTAAATTTAGTCCCAAGGAACTGATCTGGCATCAGGGTGTTTCCACCTCTCTCGCAACTAGTGGCAGGAAAAACTTTTGTGCTGTCTGCCCTCAGCACCCCACAGCAGGGACAACTTGCCACCAGCAGCCTTCACGGGAAACATGACTACTATTCAATTCCTTTTGTCAAGCCTGCTATAAAATGTAAATACTTGCTAGGATATACCTCTTCCCTTTTAAATCCTGGAAACAGCGAACAGTATCTAAGGAAAAAAGAACCAGGAGGTAAATTCTCTAAACAAGGGTAGGGACTGCAGAATGCCACCAAAGGAAAATTTACAGATCAAGGTTTTTCCTTCCCGTGACATCCATGTCAGATAATCTTCACAATGGGACCAAGCAGCAATACATCATCTACAGGGAAAGGATGGTGCATTTTACTCATATAAGATTCAGAATATTTAAAGTATGCTGTCAAAAACACAGGCCACAAGAGGAGGTTTTCATGTACTGCTTGGAGGAAGAATAGTCTCAGTTTCTCTTGGGGAATAATCCTAAACCCACACAGAGAAAGCCTCTAATCAGCTTGCACTGCCCTTAAGGGAACTCAAGGAGTGGACTGAGAACAGACACCATTCACCATTGTCAGTATAAAACCCGTATCCTTACTGTATGTACTGGCAGTATAAAGCCAATATTAAATACCAGATTCTTACCAAACTTTTATCCTCTGCATAAAGGCCTGAGCTGCAGGAAGGAGAGGGGCATTCCAAGACACATCTTTTAGGTAAACTGGGTGTGAGCAAGCGATTTCTTTGTAGCAACTTCATCAATTTACTTTCTGCATCAGAGCAAAAGGAGTCCACATTCTATAAAGGAGAACAGATTACAATGCAGAATAGTTGTTTTTCAAACCATGTAAGTACTACATGATCACAAACAAAGTATTTAGGACTTTGTTTTCTCATCATAATCCCACTAGAACTTTATTTTATATCAAACCAACAATTTAGAAGACTGCTGCGCTTTCCACGGAAAGAAATATCACACCTTCTTTTTATTGTTAACAAGAAAAAAAATCCTTTTGTATTTAAACTGTTTTTTTCAGTAAGAAGTGCAAATGCATGACCAAGACATGCTGTTTAGCACAGCTAAAAAATGGAAATAATAAAAAAATAAATGAATCCAGCAATCCGATACTTAAGGTGTTCAACTGAGCAAGGCAGTAAATTTCAACTTTTAAAAAGCTTGACCCAAACTGTCCATGACAGGTTCCCTATTGACAGGTGCCATGTTTTTGCTAACCAAAGAAGATTTGGTGGCACATCCTGAAGACAATGTTGGTTGAGCTGGATTAGATATTCAATAGGTGATATGGAGAGTCCTCAAGGAAAAGAGCATTAGCACCTTACTCCATCTCCTGCAAAATCCCCTCAAATTCAACATTATGTGTATTACTTGTTTCAAAGATTTGTTAGTACTAATGAACTTTTTGGTGAAGAATGTAACGCAGCAGTAACTAAAATTAATCATTTAACTATAAATTTACAGATTTACCTCTATCATACTTTTCAGTTCATTAACCTTCTCTTGAAGATAGTTTTCCTTTGGACTGGCTGAGAACACAGAAAGCTCTCCAGCCAAGAGCGTAGGGATTTCTGATCTGAATTCAGATTGCCACTGGAGGTTGCTTGCAGAAATGAACGAACAACGGACAACTATATCTTCAATAGCAAAGTGTCTGAGATCTGTCCAGATCTTTACTGCCACCAAATTATAGTTTTCATCAGATAAGTACACCATAGTAGCGAAACCTAAAAGCAAGAGAAAGTTTGAATTAAACCTTAAAACTTTAAATGAAGGTTGATCGTTGCAATTTGTAGCTATGAAAAAATCACATGGGTCTTGAAAGAGAATTGGTAAGTCTAGCATGGCTGCCTATCTGCACGCTAACAGATGTTTGATGCTTCATTCATATTCCACAATATCTCCCTGCTGATTACAGAAAACAATTTTAAGTCTGTGTTCCAGTGCTTAAAAACAATACTCCTGTGGTCCTGTGGTGAAGAGGGAGCTCACAGACATGCACGATGCTACTTCTGGGGCTGCTGAACACAGACGTGAGAACTTACTTAGGATCACAGAATGGTTTAGGTTGGAAGGGACCTTAAAGATCATCGAGTTCTAACCACCCTGCCATGGGCAGGGACACCTCCCACCAGACCAGGTTGCTCAAAGCCCCATCCAGCCTGGCCTTGAACACTTCCACGGATGGGGCATCCACACCTTCTCTGGGCAACCTGTTCCAGTGTCTCACCACTTATGGAAAACAAAATAAAGAAAAGCTTCTTTTGAGCTTGGATCCTTCCAATTTTTCTTCAGGAAAACAGAATTATCTGCCAGCATATCATGGTGATGGGCTGTATCAGCAGGTTTTCACAGGCCTGAGATGCAGGTACAACACCAAGATCATTTTGACTTTTGAAATAAAAAAAATATAGTGCTTACTCAATGGAGGACATGAATGTGGCCCACAACATACCTGTTCTGCTAACAGAAACTACAACTCCGACTAAATCAACTTCAGCACACGGTGGCTGAAAAGAAGGATCTGACAAACTGGTGAATTTTAGAGCCTTTCTTGGAAAGAAAATCTGTACCAGCATCTCCTGTGATACCTGAAGAAACACAAAATTTTTAAGTTTTTATGACACGCTTATCTACACTGAGATACATTTTATTGATACATCTTTATGCAGTTAAAGCACTTACTGATAGTTGTAGATACTGAGTTTTCTTTGTTGCTGTTAATTGTATGTTAATTGAATCTGATCTTCCTTTGAACTGTGATGTTAACAGCTGGTAGATTCTGAACCGACTGCCTTCCTTTAACAATGAACAAACATCTAGCAGTGGACGCCAGATACTCAGTATCACTCCTAACAATATGAAATTAAGATATATTAGCTGTGCAATACTAATTTGAAGGCTTTTAAACAAAAGAAATCAGCAACATACCCTCCCACCCAAGAGCCCCAAACCAAAACCCAAATAAAACCTGGAACATTAACAGGCAAGCTGGAGTACTGTTGTGAAACTCTTCAATTCTGTTATGTTGGCCATTTAACATGTTCAGATAAAAGTTATTCATAAGTTTCTAAGTACTAACCTTTATGTTTTTCTTGCTTTCTGTAGTCTACCACACATAATTTCCATACAGTAGACACGTCTCTTTTCGAATAACCGTTTTCTTCATGTTCTGCTGATTCTAAAGCCTTCTTGAATTCTTCCTGTATCTGACTTTGCTTTTTATCATTCATCAGCTGCCTGTAAGCATTCAAAGCTTTTAATTGGTCTTCACTGAGATATCCCTGTAACCAAGGGAAAAAGTATTCAGTATCTTTTTTATTAATTTTAAAAATCTTGACAGGATTTTTTTGGTAGCCTCTTTCTTAAGTTTTCATCCCTTATAAGCA